TCTTTCTAATAGCAGACTGGAGTTAAGCATATTTCATTAGATATTCTTTGAAAATTTCTTCTCTATAGACTCAAGTATGATTTTTGCAATAGAGGCACTAAACTGATCAATTTCTGAACTTGATTCATAGATTAATAGTGATCTGAGTTTTAAAATAATAACGTTCAGATGCAAAATATTTCTAAATATTTGTTCTACAACCTGGTTTTCAATTTTGGCTGCCCATGGGAATCATCAGGAAAGATTTCATAAATGCCCGTACCCAGGACATATGTTAGCTCAACTATATCAGAATCTCTGAAGGTAAGTTCCAAATATTTTATATATGAGAGGACTTCAAAAAGTTCATGAAAAATGTAATTAAAATATGGATATATTATGGTGCAATTTTTTAGAGTCCATCCATAATTTTTTTTAACACACAACTTCCATTAACTTCTTAAAGACTCTGATTTAAAAATCTGTTCTTTGCACGTAATAAAATAATTCAGAGATAAATGTCTTTATTTGATCCCTTTGGGAATGTCTAAATCTTGATGGACTTAACCTGAAAAGACTGCTTAACTCTTAATTACAGAAAGATAAATCAAGGCACCTTTAGGGAACTGATATAATTTACTATGCAGAAATATACATTGTTCATATACTGTTAGGAGAAATGCTTTGAAAGTGAAAGCAGTTATTATAAGAATAGATTTGTCATGTGGAAGAACAACAGTAACACTAATAGCTACTATCTGTTGATTCCCTTGCTCCATGCCAGGCACTATTCTAGGCATTATATGAGTATTATATTATTTAATTTTCACAAAAACTCTGAAGAGGTTCTATCATCCTCACTTTGCAGATAAGGAAACTTAGACATGAGACATGGGGAAGTTAACATGTACAACATTATATAGTTAGTAAATAGTGCAAAGAGAATAACTACTTGGGGCTGTCAGAATCCAGAGGTGACCGTCTGAGTTAAAAAGGTGTTGGTCATCCTTGCAGAAGCAAAGGGCACTCACAGAGAAGCACATCCATGGATTTAAGCTCTCTTCATATGATAGGCATGGTACAGTTGATCAAGGAGGGATGGCTAAAACCTGAATTCACTGCAGAAAACCTTGGTCTTCATAAGGGGCTCTTGGAGCATGGTATAGATTTTTCTCAGAACAGCAAGCACAGGTAGACACTCGAATGGATATTGATAATAAAACGTATTGTAAGATTGCACTGAAACTCATTTTTAGAGGACTCCATTTCAATGGAAATGCCACTTTTATATAGAATAGTCATGACTCTAGAAACCCAAAGGTTCTCATCTGCCTGCAGTAGTACTCAGCATGTAGAAAACTGTTAAAATGTACTCTAAAAGCAGTCCCTTCAGTGAAATTAAATTCTTTTGTCCTCACACAATATAACTGCTAGGAGATATGATCCAATGTCTCTGACTGCTTGAGAGGGGTGTCTGTCTCCCCAACAGGTGTTACTTCTCTCCTCTCCTAGGCAGCTTACAGTGTATTGTATCAGGTGTCTCTTTACAACTATGTGACTCATAGCCTTCATCTTCTTCAAGCTAATGTCAAGCATTCACTCCTCCCCATACCCCACCACTACAAGATATCCAAGGACCCCAGAGTTTCTTTTCTGCTCTGGTGATATTTTGTTAGGTTATATGTCTGATTTCCATTTTTATATAAGATCATTTGAAAATAACTTTAGTTCTGACCTCTTCATTAAAAATGAGACTTCAGGGACCAGCAGTTAGCGTAATGGCTATGTCACTGGACTCCCACGTAGTTGACCGCAGTTCGAGTCCCAGACCCAGTGGCTTAAAACTCACACCGGGCATGAGGAGGAGAAGGGATTGTGGCGTGGCCATCCCCCCTGGGGGGTGATTTCTCGCTTTCTATCTCTCTGTCTTTCTCTGTCTGTCTGGCAAGCGTACGTGCCCTATAGCAAAAACCTCTCCAAAAATAGAAAAAAAATGAGACTTTACAGGTATCAGCACTTGGTATAATGGCTATGTTGCTGGACTCCCATGTAGTTGACCACAGGCTGAGTCCCAAACCAGGTGGCTTAAACTCACACCAGGCATGTGTGCATGCGTGCATGCATACCCAAGATCCCAAGAGGAGAAAGGAAGAGAAGGGATTGTGGCATGGCCATCCCCCCCCCAGGGGGGGATTCCTCCCTTTCTGTCTCTCTGTCTCTCTCTCTGTCTTTCTGGAGAGCACACATGCCCTATAGCAAACCCCCCCCCCAAAAAAATGGAGACTTCACTATCACTCCTTATGGCTCATCAATAGCAGAAACATTGCAAGCACCTTGCATTCACCATGGCCAAACCAAAAAAGCTACTAGCAATTGTATGACTTAGGAAAAAAAAAAAAAAAAAAAAAAAACTTCCTGCATACTAGTAGTGATCTTGAATGGATACCACAAATCAAGGAAATATGAAATCAGATAATGAATATAGTAAATGTATTCATTTATATGTTTATAACTTGAATAGACTCAAAATGTAAACTGCATAAAAACCAAAATGAAAAAAAAAAAAAAAAATTTTCCCCTTCCCCATTTTCAGCATCCCATCTATTTCCCAC